GTGTGTGTGTGTGTGCGTGTGTCCTTTCGTGTGTGTGTTTGTGTGTGTGTCTGTGTCTGTGTGTTTGTGTCTGTGTGTTGTGTGTGTGTGTCTGTGTGTTTGTGTGTGTGTGTGTCTGTGTGTGTCTGTGTCTGTGTGTCTGTCTGTGTGTACCTGTGTGTGTGTGTGTGTGTGTTTGTGTGTGTGTGTCTGTGTGTTTGTGTCTCTGTGTGTGTGTCTGTGTGTTTGTGTGTGTGTGTGTGTGTGTGTCTGTGTGTGTCTGTGTGTGTATGTATGTCTTTGTGTTTGTGTCTGTGTGTCTGTGTGTTTTTGTGTGTGTTTGTGCCTGTTTGTGTGTCTGTGTGTGTCTGTGTCTGCGTGTGTGTGTGTGTGTGTGTGTGTGTGTGTGTGTGTCCCTTTGTGTGTGTGTTTGTGTGTGTGTCTGTGTCTGTGTGTTTGTGTCTGTGTGTGTGTGTGTGTGTGTGTTTGTGTCTGTGTGTGTGTGTGTGTGTCTGTGTGTTTGTGTGTGTGTGTGTCCGTGTGTGTGAGTGTGTGTGTGTGTTTCCGCAACTTTGCGGTTAGAATAACTTCAGAACGCCTTCATGAATTGTGATGATATTTGGTGTGTTGGTAAGTCTTAGAAAGGCAAAGGTCAAGGTCAAATATGGGCCTCCTGGTGCCTGTCTTTGGTATTGCAGAAGTTTTTGTATCTTTTGTCCAGAACATGCTACGGCTTTGATTTTTTGGTGACAGATAGCTTTTCCTGTCAGATATAAGTGGTGTCGGTTTGTGCGGCTTGTTCTGGAACTGCAGGTGACATTCTGGAGAAATCTTTTAAAGCCAACAAGTCCATATAGGAGCTACATATTTTCATCATTTTGGTTTGTAGGTATCTGAGATAGAGAGAGAGAGAGAGATGAAAATAATTGGATACAAATGGTGCAAATGAAGACCTAATTTGCATAAATTAAGGTGGAAATTCTATAATTACAGTGTTTTATATAATAGTACTTTTCACATGTTATCTTTTTCATCCAACGTAGGTGGAACATCAAAAGATACCAATTCTGCAAATGATGACCTAATTCACGCCAAAAAAGCAGTTACTCAAGAAACTGGATATGGTTTTGGAAACGGTCAGACGTTTCAGCTAGTAGCCACTAGCTTTCTTCAGTGACTGAAACGTCTGACCGTTTCCAAAATCATATCCAGTTGCTTGAGTAACTGCTTTTTTGGCGTATCGTATTAACTGGATGTCTAACCTTCATTGATGACCTAATTTGCATAATTGATGTGAACATTCCGCGAGTCCTTATCGGTGAATGATGGGACTTTTAAACCTTGTGACATGTGTAATTTACTTAAAGATTAACATCATTATACATATATTATGTTAATGTAGAGGTCATTTGCAGAAATAATGAGGACATGTTTAAATATAGTATTGACAAAGGAGGAATTTTACACGCAAAATATTGTAATTTAAATTTAGAAAACCATAAATTAAAAAAGATTATGGTAATAACGACCTTATTTCCATAGTCAATGACTCATATTTCATGGAGGTATGAAATCTCCAAATTCTTGTTTTTAGTATGTAGGTAGCTTACAGAGAGATGTGCATAAATAAATGCAAATTATTTAGATAAGAAGACTTAGGAGGAAATTCCGTAGTTACAGTGTTTTACTTAGTACTTTCACACATGCAATGTAAGTAATCTAAGGCAGGTGTAATATCAACAGATATAATTATATAAATAAGAATCTAAGAATCTAATTTGCATATCTACAGTGAACATTCTGTAATTTCTAAAGGAATTTTATACCTTGTCACATGTGTAAGTTACTCAAAGTTAAACATCTCTATACATGTATTATGCTAACATAGAGGTCATTTGCATAATTGATGAGTTAAAATGAAATATCGTCAAAGGGTAGGAATTTCACATGTAAATTCAGTATGGTGGCTGATAGCTTGTCATGTCAGGAGCAAGTGGTGTGGTACAAAACAGTAACAAGCATGTTTTTATATTTCTAACTATGTGTTCTTATATTCGAAACTCCTCTTTAGATATATATAATTCGAACAGAATGGTGCTTTTGGGATTTTCGGGCTATATCGGAGTTATCAGGTGGCTCACATCAAGGGTATGTATACAAGACAAATATTATAATTACCACCCTTTATCTAAAAAGCATCTTCATGTACCGTCCAAAAGAAAATTGAAAAATAATAAATATGATATCTAACTAATACGCATTTGTAAATAATATAGAACGCCTGTGTGTTTTCATAATTGTGAATGTAAAACTAGAATAGCCTTATTTCTTTATCTTTATGTGTTTATATATACAAATTGGGCTCTTATAATTTACATTACCGCCGTGAGAGAAATGTATAGTCAGTTTGGATGGTTAACATGATTTAGCAAAGGTATATCGATCAGAGGTCGTGCTTGCATATAACCAACAATCACGCCAAATGATAAGATGTCAGCAGAGTGTGAATAACTTGCATAAAGATTTTGCTAATGAGTAGGATTGCAAATTTAAGCCATTTACAGGTGGTCATCAGCTTGCATAAGTTTTACGAAAGTACTTAACATGTCATGGAGGTATGAGATCGACGAACTCTATTTTTATAGTTTTGTTTAATATGAAGATGAAGAATGAATAAGTATTGTGTCACTTTTCCACAGTTTAACAGTCTTGGAGCAACTTTAAGAGAGCTGAAGGTGCTTATAGATGATTTGGACAAAATCCTTCCTCCCGAAGGACTTCAAAGTAAGATCAATATTAAACCTTTCATTTTTAATTAAGTTCAAAACATCTGCACGTTTTAAATTCTGTATCGTTGTTAATGTAAACTTGCGTCATTTATTTGTAGTTTAGGGGCAAAATTATTGTCATGTACTCATGATCTGTGGGTTAGGTTTCATGAAAAACATTACAAGCCTGCAAGACTTAAGCATGTATAACGTAATCCAAATGATTTCTATCTAATACATGAAAAGGAAGAAAATCCACGAACTTTTGTATTATACTATTATAACAGTTAAAATGTACAGTTGTCCAGACATTTGTGTTTTACCCTGAAGTATCACTAGGTGGGGAAATTGAGCCATTAAGGTCTGGCGCGTACAAGTGTCCAGATTTTCAACATGGGGAAATGCAATGGCCTGAACTTCCAAAAATGCAACAGGTAAAGGCAAGAATAACATTTGTACTACAAGTTTGGCTGCGTTTTAAATAGAGCAAATGTTGCGTCAAGAACACCATATATACATGAACATGTCTAATACTACATGCAGCCTTTATCTTGATGTTATCATTCTGCAGTATTAATGTGTATTTTTGCTATATAACGACTTAAAATAAACTTTTGTATGTATTATGTTTCATTAAATTTTAATTCATTTGGTTCGGGTGGCAGAGGAGGACTGGCGCCCGACTGAAGTCAAGTAAAATTTTAATTGAACTTAACTCTCAACTAAAATTTGACTACACTTTAATGCTTATATACAATTAAAGTTAACGTTAGGTAGGTACTTTATTCCTGATTTACTAATTAGCGTTTCTTGATCAAGTTATATTCATTTACATCAAGCCCTTGTACGTTGTATCAGGATGGAGGATAATGTACATTTGTTCTATACAGGAGGAGAGCAATGTCACTTTGCAAGACTTTGAGAAAATGGCGGAACTGTCTGACCGGGTAAGTACAATCGATAATAATGTTGTCCTTAAATGCTCGCCGGGTAAAAATATATTGTATGCATCAAATGAAAATATTTCATCAATTAACATGATTTTTAGTTGCCTTCGTAACCACGGCATGTCCTTTTGCTCTTTTTGCTTATTTCCTGATGCTGTTGCGTTTGTACATGTATTTATGTACACAGCGTCCCTTCATAAGCACAGCTTTGGACCTTTTAGACTGACCTTAGAAACTTTGCTCAACTGGATATATAAAGATACGTGCAAAGGTTGATTTCTGAAAGTCTGACAAGGAAATTTGACAGCAAATTCAAAGAAGGCATTTCTTTTAAAGGCTTATCGATTACTGGTATTTGGAACAAACATGTTAATGTTAATATTATAAACAGGTCGCAAAAAAGATGATAAATCGTGTTGTAGTATTAATATGATCAAGCACCAGCGAATCACCACCACGCATTTTTACTGTACATATGAAAAGTTCATCGAATCCTTACATTTGTTTTGTACTTTAAATTATAGGTTTCAAGCATCAATCAGGAGGTAAGAATTCCTGGACGTCAATCACGTCATACGTAACGAGTAATGCTAAAGCTATTGTATTTTTTTCTTTTTTTATTTTATTTATTGTAATTTTTAACTTTTTAATTTTGAAAGTCAAGTTGTCAATTTTTTGTCATTCAAACACTTGACGTAAGCAGGTTTCTTTACACAACTTTCACTCATTCCGCTATGTTTTTGTTTTCAGGCTCGTGACATCATAGACGAAATTAGATACATTAGGAACATAGTGTCTTATAGCTCAACCCTCCTACGTAATATCGACAAAACAGGTATGATTCAATAAGATATGGATTTTATAATGCTTTAGCCGAGAGTACGTTAAAAGAGTACATTTTCTTTAAGTCCATTGTTCCCGTCCATTCTACCCGCAAGTAGATTTGTCAATTCTTGCACTTTCAAACTACCAAAAACAAACAGCAAAAAGCGAACATTTCTCTACCGCGCCATTAATCTATGGAACACCCTGCCTCCCAGTATCAAAACACTGACCGGTCTGCATCAATTCAAAAAGGCCATCCGCCAGTTGTACATAAGTATATAAGTATAAGTATAACATAAGTTGTATATATTAAGTTAAGTCATGATTGTTTTGTTTAACCTGTATATAATTTGTGATGATTATGTATGTTCATTCTCGTTTAATTTTGTTGTCAGTATGTTCGTATTTTACATGTTTTGAACCCTGGAAGACTAGTCATGGACTAAAGGGTATCGAAATAAACGAATAAACTAACGAAGTCCAATCTAATCGCTATTTTTAACGCAGGGCCAACCTTAGTCCAGCAGTACCGTGGCTGTTATAAGGACACATCTGACCGTCTGTTTCCCAACGCACAGCTTCTGGGCCATTCGTTATTAACGAATGCTCTTTGCAGGGATCACTGTAGAAGTGGCCATTTTCCCTACTCAGGTAACAGCACCAAAATGATTGAATGTCAAATTTCTTCATTCAAGGCCACTTGTTTACAAGAACCGACGTTTCGATGATCGCGTGTCGTCTTCACCAGTGCATCTAGGTTTTACTGGTTCAAAGTGAACCAAAGCTGCCGACCTATGGGTTCCAAATATACGGTACATCAGTTCACAGAGAACCAGTCATTATAGCTTTAAAAAGCGAAGTGAGGAAAGTCGTGTAAAGTGCCTTTCCCAAGGGCACACGATCGGTGGCATGTCAGGACTCGAACCCGGGACCTCTTGGTTCCGAGTCGAGCACTCTGCCCCACACGACCCCACTTTTCTATCATATTTGGGACAATAGCTTACCTTTAAAAGGCATATGATATTCCCATTCCTCCATAGCAACTCAATATGCCGAAGAATGCTTCTGTGGGACGAGGCAAAACTTTCAGGACCTCGGAGATCCTCTTCCTGACAGCGAATGTGACCGTCGGTGCACCGGAAATCCTGATCAATTCTGTGGGGGTGAATGGAGGATGTCTGTGTTTAGCACTGGAAGTAAGTTGCTTTATTGTTATCATCAATATCTGGCTGCATTTGTAAAAGGAAGGAACTATCACATTCATTGTCTTCTGACAATGACTGACGGGAGGGAGAGAGAGAGAGAGGGAGAGAGAGAGACTCTGGCTGGACTACCAACATCAAGATAGCATTGACGGCAAGCTTATATGCTGAAAAACTATTAAGTTTGAGACAGTTCATATTGCATGAGGGTTCTACTCAATATAATATGTAAATTGTACTTTCGACAAAAGAGGGAAGGTTCTAAATTCTTAATTTTTTAAAACCTCAAGTCTGAAGTTTTTTTGTGATATATTTTACCACATTGTGCGTGTACCATTGCTCTCAATCCATGGATTAATTTCAACATGCTACTTGTCCTCTTGACATGGGGATGGTGCAAATTTTTTTTGATGTAAAGTTGGAATGTTGAAATTATACATGGACGTTGCAGGCTGATAATGGATTAGCAATAGGGGTCCTATATATACCAGCGCCGCCACTGCCCGCGTGCTAGCATAAATGAGTGAAATGTGTTATGCATTAGCTTATAACTGGAGATTATAGAAAAATGA